CCCAATTGGCGTACGCAAAAGCCCTGGGCTAGGCGTGCTCTGCAGACCTGTTTTAGTTCCCTGTCAATTATTCCTCCTTGTTTACGGTAACAGCTTATATCACATTTTATTACTGTGGCTCATGTGCCTTTCACATCATTGCTTTTGAAACACCGCATTTATTCTGAAACGAGTCTGGTTTTCAGTCTAGCTCCTCACTGTTTTCTAAACCCAGAGGGATTTTGCTGTTGGTTTTGCATTCTTTTTTCTGCTTGCTGTAGCTATGTCCATGTTCCAGGACGACTGCTCAAGTGTCTGAGAAGTGTGGGATTTTTTTCCCCTCTTCCCTTCCTACTTTCAAGCCTTTCATCCATCCCTGCCCCTCCTTTCTCACCCTCTTGAGCCCTAACTGCTGCACAGCGTTAATATCTCAGCTACTGCTATACAAGACCTGGGCAGGCAGAGCTGGTCTCCTCTCCCAGGGCACTGCCAAAGTACCTTACAACCAGTCAGCTGTGTCACAGTGTGATGGAGCACAGCTCTGAGCTGTTTATCCCTGTTGCATCCCCTAAACACACTCACAAGATTGCTGTTAAAATTCATGAGATTTAAGAATATACACTTTTAAGATTTATCCACTCTCTGCCTTCTGGGTCTGGAAGCACACTGAATGGGAACTTCCATTTCATAGAAAGGAAGCTTCTGCCTCTACCTGGAGCATGGACAACATTGATTGCCTAGAGAGGTTATAGCTGAGGAACAGCTCGAAGCCAGTGTGGCTTTGTTGAAACTGAATTTTACTCTTCCAGAGTTGAGAATCTTGGGAAAGAGAGTGGGGAAAAGAAAGTGCATGGGTTGGGGAAGTAGGAGACACTTCTGTGAGGTGAGCTTATGGCTGTTGAGAAGCAAGGGTAGCTGTCTCTACCTCCAAGACTTTGCTCTTCTTTCAGCAACACCAGGTAACTTGGCTTTCCAAGACCATGACTTTGGCAAAGCTGGCAGAAAAGCTGTGATTATTATACGAACTCAACCCTATCAACCTGGGTGTCCTCTAGAGACTGTTCTCTAGAGGATGTTGATTCTTCCAGACCCACTTTTGTCCTGAGAGTGGCGAAAAAGAACCAGGAGAAATATAGACACCGTTTAACCCAAAGTGTATAACTGGCTATTGGAAGAGAAGAAAACACCTCCAGAAAGTGAGAGCTCCATTGAGCAGGATCATACAGGAGGAGAGTGGGAAAGCGTTTGAAAATGTCCTTTGTGTTCCTGAAGCTGGAGGGTAGATGCTCATGTTTATATGTTGTTGTGCAAAGTAGATCATTAGACATAGACAACTGGACAGAAGTGCCACCACTCAGTTGGCCTTCAGTTGTGACAGTGGAAAACCAGGCAGGAGCTGGTAACTGCAATGGATCTTCTGCACAGTAGCAGGTTAACAGAGGCTCACAGCAGACATGAGATCTTCAAAGAAGAGTCTGTGACACTGAGCAACATATTCTAAATGGACTTCTAAATGGAAGCGATTGATGGAGTCAAATCAGACCACCCCAAAGCTTCCCACACTAGGTGATGTAAGACAATGGCTGCACAGCCTTTGCTGCTGCACAGCTCCACCTAAAACATGACACTGAGCTGTGGCTTGAGCTGGAGGGAATTCTAGCAGTCTTCAGGATCTCAGCAGACATTGGAGAGCTGAGAAACTCAGTTCTTGGGGCTTCACTACTATTTATTCTGGCATGGCTATCTAAAGCTGGTTTTTTGGGTCTCCACCACAGTTTTGCAGCTCTCAATGATCTTGGAATAATCCTATATCTTTTCTGTGCCTCAGTTTGTCTTTTCTAAGAGAAAGCAATAAATATATTCTCTTATTACAGAGGGGCTGTTGAGAACATACTACTACGCATCAGTAAAGCAGTTGGAGAGCCTCCAGTTATTACAAGAAATACATGCAGAGTGTTCTACTTTATTATAAGATTGAAAGACTTTACTTTCAACCAAAAAGGCTAATACGTATAGAAAGCCTTACCCACTAGCAGCTAGAAAACAAGAAGAAAAATCACAAAACAAACCTATGAAACAACAATTTTAACATGAAGCCATAGAAAATGTGAATATAGACTACTGCTCAAGGTAGTACAATAAAATGTAGACTAGGTAACCAGTTGAATAATCAGAACTGCTGAGACTACTGGCAAGCATTCCTGAAAAGGAAGTGTGATTTTAAAGGTTATCTTTTGGGAAAGAACATGAAGTACCTTTTCCATTCAAGAAAAGAGAATACTTCCACTTTATACAGGTAATGGAGGATGGAGAACAAGAACATGAAGAACTCTATATCAATGGCTAACAAATAGCTAGAGGAATTAATAAAGCAGTTGTTGTGTAAGCAGCTATAGCAAAATAAGGTGATAAATAGCAGGCAACTGGGGCTTATAATGCATTAGGCAAACTAACTTAATTATATTCTAGGTAGTAGACAAAAAATACCCTACGGTAGCTCTTTGTATAGTTCCCTGAGATGTTCTTATATGTAGATTACTGAAATCTGAATGGTACTTTTCAAACTCCAGCTTTTCCAGTGTGTGCCAAATGCAGGGAAATAAACGTGGGACGCCATGCAGAGTTTTGCAGCCAACACACAGTAATTTTAAACTATACAACAGCCTTAAGGATATTTTCTCAATCTAGAAATTCAAAAGCCACTGAATGAAAAGTGGATTACACCATATCCCCTTTCATAAGAAGGATTTGAATCTTAAACTTCAATATTTTAGAGTGGCTCAGGCACCCAGCTACACAGATGCTTTTCTATTAGAGCAGCCAGTGGAGCTGATGCACATAATCTGGATTTATTTTGCCATCAGATGGTAGCCAGCAGTTTGTTGGAGACAGGAAACTTAAGCTGTGAACAGACGTGATCATCTACATTCATCAAGAAGCCTGTTGCCCACAGATGCTTATATCTCTTCTCCTTGCTGCCCATGATGCCAGTTTCCTGTGATCTCTTGTGCTGGGAATGAAATTGTTCGCACACCTTTACTTATTTCTTGGTTTTGAGGTCCAATGAGAATTTATTTTGATCTATTTCTCCTAAGAATGCATGGAGGAAGTGTTTGGACCCTCAATATCCTACTGGTTTCTATTCTCACTTATATTCTATGACTCTGTATTGCATGAGTCCTCTCTTTAGGGTGAGTGATGAGGAAATAGGCCATTTCTGTGGGAGATGATGATAGAATGTCAATCACAGGAGTGTCAATGGAGTGCAAAACTGATTATATCCCTGCATTGTACAAAGGCTGGTCAAAAATAGCCAAAGATCCAGATGTTTCTTAAGCATGGAGGTCTTCTGCCATCCCCATCAGCTCTTAGCTGGACAGGGGACTGTACAGATCCCTACTTTGTGCAGAACTCAAAGACAGATGAGCACGCATGACTCAGGAGGATTAGAATACGCAAATTGCAAGCTAGAGGAACGAGATGAAGTCAATAAACTGAAATTCAACCCAATAAAAACACAGGTATGAATAAACATGAGTACAGAGAAATTGAAAGATCACAGAAAAGAGACCCAGGGTTAATGACAACACAACCATGGGAGAATTGCTAGATGTGGTTGACACAAACACATAAAATGCTGTGTTAAATGGATATTGGGATTAATAGGTGTCATGACTTTTAGCGAGTAATGGAGCTGGAAAGTACTGAAGCATGTTTTGGTCAGCATAATTCAAATAATACCTAAGCCAAATGGATGGAAATGAAATGAGAGAATGCAAGAATCAGCAAATCTCAGCCCATTTTGTTTGCAAAATAACCCCCAAATCAAAACTAAAGCACTCTTAATGCTGATACGAGTTCATCTCCTAACTTCCAGTGTAGAGGAATAGGACACTGGTTCCTTCCTTGAGGGGAAATGGGATCAGTCATTTTTAATTACCCTAATTTGCATGAATTACAGCTTCACATGTAGTGTTCTCTTGCTTTTTTTCTTCTTCTTCTTCTTTTTTTTTAAAGAACAGAACTCATAACTAATAAAACTAATAACACATTGTTGCTGTGAATGTGCTCATCAAAAGGCACAGGGACTCTACCCAATGGGCTTTAGGGAGGGTGAACCTCAGAAATGTGATAACTGTCCAGGCTGGAAATAGTGATGCAAAATAAGTTAGAAGTAGAAGAAGAAAACTCTGTTTAAAAGCCTCAAAAGCTGCACTTTTCCTAGGATGACATCTGCAACTTGCAAGGCTGGTCTGATGACGGTCAGACCATTTGCTAAGGCGTGTAGGTGCCATGCAAGTTACCTGACTGAACTAGCAACAGTGATGCTAGTTCAGCGTTTTTGACAGGTGGTAACAAAAGCAAAAGGAGAGCAGACCAAACCAAAAGTGATGAGCCAAACCAAAAGGCACAGATTTATCTGAATTGCACTATGACCTTTAAATGTCCCTTCTAACTCAGATGATTCCAAAGGTCTAGGTGCCTCTGACACCCATACCTGCAAGTGAGTGGCAACAACTGTCTGTATTCTCTTATACAGCAGTATTTGTCATACTCTGCCTGTGCTACCACCTTGAATGACAGAATAGGATGGCAGAGGGAGGAAAACATCCTTAGGTACAGTACACATGGGAGAAATAAGTTCAATATGTTTAAAGTTAAAATACAAGCAGGATACACTGTAGGTAACTATAAGCATTGTAAACATGATTGTGAAGTCTTTAATAATTTTAAAATATGCTTGTTGTACAACTCGTTGCAGGAGAACTTTCTTAACACAAGCTAAACACAAACCTCTGGCTCCTCACTCACACAAAATATCTAATGGCAGCAGCCCAAAGCAAGGCTGACTCTGGAAGCAAATGATAAGTCCATCCATTACAAGTGAGGAGTGCTAATCACCAAGGCAGGCCACAAAGTGCAGCAGTCTCCCCACGTGGGGACAGTCCTTCTTCAGTCCTTCTTTCTGCCTCACACACACATTGGGCATCCTAAGAACTCACCGTGGAGATCCTGGGCGCTGGGACACAAGTTTTCCTAGCATTTTTCTTCTTTCCCCAGTTCAATTTGCCTTAAAATGGAAGACCTGTGCTGCAGACCTACCTGTTTTTACACAGGTGTGCCACTGAGGGAACACAGAAGTTAGAAGGGGTGTTTCTTTCCTCAGCCCCAGTTCTGCTGGCCTAGATAATGATTCACCTCACAAGTTTCAGCTGAGTTGCTTGTGAGGCAAGGAAGCATGTTACAGGTCCCATAGCTGTGTAGGAGACAAGAGTCTGTTTTGCTCGCAAGACAGGTCTTAATTACTAACTGCAAATTGTTATTTGGTGCTAAAGTGCTGGGAGAAGATAAATGAAAGCAGAGAAAGCATTCAGTAGCTGCTGAAAAAGGCCTCCAACTCCCAGACACAAGGAGATGTCTCATTAATTATTTGCTTTCATGCCCTTTGGGCTCAAAAGACAGCAGCAATAACATTACTTTTGTTTGCAGCTGAGTGTTCTTTTTTGACTGAGGTATGTGTTTTCTATTTATACCTTGATGTTTTTCAATGCGTTTCTTTTCAGTATGGGAATTAATCACCTACAATTTACCTTGAACATGTAATTCCCTCCTTGTGTCAATCATTCTTGTTCAACAGCGTCTCAAAGACAGCAGCGGAAATGAGGACTGCTAAGAACACAGTGATCTTTCCAACATTACTGAGCCATTCGGGATTACAGCTGTTAAATGCAAGCACAAGCAGGTATGCGATGTTCAGCATTCCACCCTGAAATAGCAGCAGTTGTAGCTGGACTGAATTCCAGAAAATCTCTCCTCCTAGAAATCAGCTTTGACATTTTGTTTTTCTGTGCTTGTTTGTTGTTGTTTTTTTTTTTTATCCCATATTTTCTCTTACAAAATCTGCTTAAGGAAAGCACAGACCATTTGCATTAATCCAGGGAGAGAGGCGTAGAACAAAAAAAAAAAAAGAGGGGGAAGGAAAGATGGAGGAGTGAATGAGGAACAATTCGTACAGCACTGGCTAGCTTTGGCTTTATGCCATCCTGGTAGATGGCTAGCACTACTATCAGCGATTTCCCATCCAGCCAGGAAAGTTTTTTTGTTAATACACGTTGTGATTTTAACAGTACACGTGTAGGTGGTGAAGAACTGGATTTTTTTTAAAACTTTATAATCAAGGCGAGAGGAGGCAGGCACAGTACATGACAGAAACATGCAGTGTCAAAATACTCTCATCTATTATCCCCCAGGTCACACTGGCAGATCCTTCCCACCTCCCACCTACAGACTGGTCTCAGCACTAAGAAATGTACCCAGCAGTGAGGGTTTTGAATTACTTTTTATTTATTTATTGTAAGAACTAGGCTAAAGATAGAAATGAAGTATCATCGATCATCATAGAGGTTGAAAGTGGCTGCTCATACTCTGTATCTAAAAGATATTTACATTTATGCCTCAATGTAAATTGTGCCTATGGAAAAGGAAATAAGCAGTGTTGCTCAGTACAAGATGAAGAGGAATATGCAAAAATGCAAATTCCACAAAGAAAAGGTAATTGGTAGTTTGTTAACAGAAGGAAATGCGATAGAGAACTGCAGCCTTACACGCCATTAACTTGGGCTTAAAGCAGCGCCTGCTTCATGATCACAAGAAGGCTTTTACTCTATGGTAAGGACACGAGAAGGGCTCCAAAAGTGTTAATTGTTGCATTTCATTCTGCTGAAAGAGGCTGCTATGCATCTTGCATTAGCTCTAGACTTGTACTGAGACCCACTTCCACCTGAGTTTTTGGTTTCATTCTGGAGAGAGTTGCTTAAGTGCAACCCCTTCCACTTGTCATTGGTTTTTAATCTCACCAGATGTGTTATGGGTTACTTCTCTAGTTTACCAAAGCAGCTTCAAATGCTTTTTCTCCAGAGTGTTTGAAGCCTTCTTCTCTTTTGCAAGATGCAGAAATACACTTTTATTCCATCAGTTAAGTCATAAATTAAACTATTAAAATATTAAATAGAATCAAAAAGCTAGGCTGGATTCCTGAAATGACCTTTCAGTCTAAGAACATAACAATAATTACTTTGAGACTTGTCTTCCACCCTGAGCGGTGTCTGTAGCCTTACTGAAACCAATGTATGTCACACCTATTGCTTTCCCCTTATCCCTTAAGCTAGACAAGCTGCCAAGAAATGAAATTAGATTGCTTTGGCAGAACTTATTCTTTTCTTATCCATATTAACAGAAACATAGTGAGTCCAGGTATGTACAACAAAACCTTGTGAACATAACAAAATGCTCATAGTAAGAAGCTCTGAGAACTAAATCATTTTATGTTTTATTTTGTTGTATTTTTCCTTTGACAGAGTTGAACAGTTCCAAGACAGCCTTCTGAAAGCACTCTGCTTCCTTACAGCCCAGGCGATGACTTCTCAGTGCAGCAGGACTGATAATTTTAGCCCAGGAGTACTCTCAGCATTACAGATGCATTTTACAATTTTGCTGCTTCCAGCAATTACGTTATTTCCATATTAGCCTCTTTCTACATACTAGCCAGAGCAGGTTGCAGAGCAAAAGAAAAAAGAAAGTGAGGCCCAAAGAACATTGTTTCAAAAAACATTTGTGATGCAGCCAGGAAAAAAACACAGAAGCACCCTGCCTCATGAATTCTGTATCTGTGAGTTGTGCCAGGCAAGAAATGAGACTCGGTATGCTTTTATACTTTACGTTGTCAAAACTCATTGAAAATTAATATAAGTAATATTTTTATCTCTGCATGATAGCAAGGGGTTTTAGATATGGTGTTCTGTATTCAAATGGGATTTTAATGTAGTATCAGAAAGATTGTGATAAAGAGCTTTACAAATCTCCTAATATATTAAATGTAGGTGTTCCTAGAAGTTGGAAAATCTTCAAAAGCAAGTTTAAGGTCAGTTTAATTTAGTTACCTTTGCTGAGGTAAAAGAGCATCTGAATTAAATATAATGACCCGCCTCTTCCACAAACAGTTTTGTAAGGCAGGATTCTCCCAGAGCTCCAAAAACAGTCTTATGGGATTTCCTTGCTGGATGAGTATAGTGTGTGGAGGTTGTATGAGCAAATGCCTTAGAGAAAGGTAGATCAGCATCACTGCTTAAGAAGATTAATTCTTTAAAAGCTACTTATGGGAGAGGTGATCTTTTATGTGTGAACCAAAAGCAATTAATTAAAATGGGTCAATTAGCCTTTCAAATACAACTGCATTCAGAGTTCTGGTTTTTATGTATTCATGCATGAAACTGTAAAATAAAGGTAGGGGGGAAACCTACATGACTCATACAGGGCAGAATGAAGAAGTAAATATAGCCTTCACCTTCTGTCAGTCCCACGCTCAGGAACATGTATATTCTGACATGTTGGGTTCTGTCAAGGGTGCATGTCACAGCAGCAGTCTGCATCTGTGCCATCCTCTAGCGTAACAGAGCTGAACAAACTGTGAAGACAGAAAAATGTGCAACCCAACACTGAAACAAAAACATTTTTTTAAGTGGAAGAGTCAGGCTCCAACTGTGTGAGTGAAAAGGGAATTGTAAGGAATTTGATTCTTTTTGGTCTTCCAAATAAATACAATGGCATCAATAGCATGAGAACAGAAAATCTTTAAATTTTGAGGTTTTTGAAGGAGGCATCACAAACTAAATTTTCGCACAAGTCCCTGGAAAGAAAAGGCAAACCCACCTAGACAAAATTGGTTTTGCTGAGCCTAGACTAAATGCAGCGATTTGAATAATGTCAGGCATGCAATATATTTTAAAGAACAGATTGATGAGACCTAGAAATCTTCTTTGTTCTATCAGTCAACTTGAAATGCATTTCCTTTCAAATGTGTCTAGAATCTGCACAAGAATCAATGTATGTAAATTCAGAGATGAAAGCAATAATTCATACTGGTAGGAAAGCATAATGCATTGCTAGTATGAATGCCAATCATCCTCCATAGGCTATGATGAATGGGAAGATTACATGCACCTAATAAAACTGAACATTTCAGAATGCACACAATCCATAAGTGAGAACTTCGGGGTTTACAGTTTGTCTATGAGCTCCCAGCAGATGCAAAGAAGGGCTGGGATGCTGTATTTATGTTAAAATGGACATGTCCAAAAATGGACAGTTTAAACACTGCTTCCCCTGGCCCCAGCCCTGATTTTTCCAGAAATGCTGGGCTCATAAGGGAAAGACCAGAATCCATACTGCCTAAGGACAAGTGACTGAAAGGTAGTATACGTAGGCTATTTAATAAATAAAAAAAGGCAATGAAGCATAGCCTTATGATGCAGCTGGGTAAATAAGCACATAGATCTGGTGTACTTCACCTAGAATGCAGTGGTCTTGTTTGTGTGAGACTTGAATTTGCAATGTGGGAGCATGGTCTCTATCAAGTATTTCAGAAAATTCCTCCTGCAGCTTCTTGGGAAACTCATTTGGCTACTTGCTATCACACCAACCTTGAGATGTAGCATAGCTGGGTTCACCTCTTCACTGACAAAGGCATCAAGCTGGCCAAGGTTAGGATAGACTCACAGTCTGGCCAGTATGAAGCTCTGCCTCAGACTTCTCTGAATGACAGAAGCGAGATAAGTGTTGAACAGACCTGAGTCACTGGCAAATCTCAGAAGAGAGATCTTTGGGGCTAGTGTGTACATCAGGTTTAGAAAATGGTGCTGGGATGAACAAAATGCAACCATTCCAGGAAAAAACAAACAAACAAACAAACAAAACCAAACCAAACATTTTGTTATTTTCAAAGCAAAGAATTCCTATCTTAATTTTCAATTTTGTTACAATATTTTTACAAATATTTTAATATTTTAATGTTTTAATATTTTGAACTTCTGACTTGGAAATGAGTGCCTGTCATCCTAAATAAAATATACTGAATATAACACTAGGAAAATTCTTCAGGTTCTGACTGACAGTATAGGAAATGGAACAAAGTTTGGCAGTTTGGGAAATAAGTAAAAACAGAAAGCCTGCATGTGTATTCTCAACAGGCTATATATTACTTCCAGGATGATCCTACTGGTAATCTGGCTTGGATTTTTTTGAACATAACGTATTAATTCTCCTTTGAAAAAGGATCACCAAAAATATCACTAAAATCTCCCAATGGAATGTGCTAAAGGGGAGCTTGATGGAGGAGGGAGATTTCCCTGACCATGACCCAACAGAACAAAAGAAAATGATAAACTGAGACAGCTGTTCTGTGAAGCCAGCTGCAAGTACAACTTTAATTCCCCCACTTTTATGTTAGTGTAAGAGATTTATTTTATTATTGCTTTCATGAGATGTTAGAGCTCTTTGTAACAGCGGTTATTTGGCAATACCTGCAGTTGGTTCACTACAGACATTTGTTTTCTGCCTGTACAGGTGGTTCAGAACGCACTGACCATGTGAATATCTTTTTAGGAATCTAGAAAACAACAACAACAACTACAACAACAAAACCTCTTCATCATTTCTGAAAACTTCCTTGGGCAATGGTTAATTGCTGCCAACACTGTTTGTGGACAGGGGTCCCAGGACCTGAGGCAAGGTGAGTTACAGGAACGCATCATTTAGATCCTTCTCAAAAATTTAAGAAAACAAAGCAATGGTGGTCTGGGATCCACAGAGGCAGAGGTACACAAATAGAAAAGCCTGGGTTGAAGAGTTAAGCTAAGCTTTGGCTTGAGGTGGATTATGGACAGGACCATTTCTTTCCACTCTTGAAGAAACAGACATTTAGAGGATTCCACACAGCACAGGAACTGCAGAGGCACAGGCTTTGTATTTATAATGTTGCAGATCAACACTGAGCTAACTTCTCAACCAGAAAAACACCCTGCAAATGTCCACTGCCTAAAGGCTGGGAAGGGGAATGGAACACCAAGGATTCAAAGCCTTTGAGACAACACAATCCCTTCCAATCCAGGCACTACACAGCAAATTCCCATTTGATACATAATGTTGGCAAAAAGAAAATCCCTTACTGAGAGACAGAACAAGGGCTGAGTGATAATACAGCTGTCATTCCTGGCATGAAGAAACATTTTTTTTTATCTTCTAGGACTGATTGTATTTTCATGGCTAACATTTCTGCCAGATTTCCTTTCAAAGAAGCATCAAGACTAGGGTGGAATATTTTGTAGCATACTTGCAGAGGGGACAGAATGGTCCCATCTTCCTCCAATTTGTTCTTAAACGAATGGGGAAAAAATGTATGATGGAGGGAGGGAGGAAAGGAAGGCACTGCAGTGCTTAAATTCACCCATGGAAAGAGCTAATCTGTAGACAGTTGATGAGGTGGTTTGCAGTCCCCCTGTGACAAAGGGCCAAGGCATGGCTGTGGTCAGGATGTAGACCTCATTGAGGGGAATGATACTGTGGAGTATTAGCTAGTTTTCTTTGCAGACTTCATAAAGCGGTTGAAAGCCAGACTGCAGGGAGCATTTCTTCCCCAGAGTCTTCTGATGAGGTTGTTTATTATAAAGCATTGCTTACTCTAGAAGAGACAAGCATATTGGTCCTGTAGGTCAATAGTAATGTACTTGCAGATTCTCAGTTGTTGAAAATGAAAGATGCAGACATAAAACTGAATGCCCTTAATGACAGAAGGATTGAAATACTGGGATGTGGCTCCATTCATTACTCTTGACACTTCTTTTCTTTCCTTGCCTTCATCTTTCTAACTCTTTTTTAATGCAAACAGCTACAGTGAATTTAAGACTATGAATATACACTGCCAGTTACCTGCTTTTGGATAGTTATGTCAAGTCTAGACTTCTGTATGAAGATTTTTTTTTTCTGCAGAGACCAATAATGTGATATCTGATTTTTTGTGAACCGACGTGTAGTTTTTGTTCCTATGATTCATCAAACTAGTTCAAGTGAATGGACCCTTTTACCCTATAATTTAAAATAAGGATTTTGAAGGGCATCTGAAACTTTCCCCAGCTAAAAAAAAGCCTCTTTTCTGTTAGCATTGGAAGAAACCCCATAAAGTGCAAAATGTGCTGATGGCTTTTCTATAGAAGAAGTATATACTCATTAAATGTATATTTTTTCCTTTTCTAACTCCTTACACTCTTACTTTATAGGATCCTGTAAATGAAATGTGCATTCAAAGATCATGTTTCAAACTTGCAAGACTGTGTGGGTTTGAAAGGAGCCAGGACAAGTAGCCCTGAACTAAGTGAGACCTTTGTTAGTGCAGAACCTAGAACAAATGAACTAACAATTTGGAATACATTAGCTGCCACTTCAAATGCCATTGAGAATTTGCAAAAAACTCAGAGCAATAATGGTAAAAGGCATAAAACGTCAAACTTGTAGAAAAGCTGACAACAAAAAGAATATTCAGCACGAATTGCAGTTTTCCTGATTTGCTAAATCTCTTACTGATTCTGCTTTAGCAGATCTTGTTCTCTCAAGAGACTTAAATGCAGTAGATTATCTAACACACTCAATTAATGCTTTAAGTTTCTCCTCTGAAAGCTTACTTGATCTAGCAGTTGGCAGCCCTGTCCCCAGCAGCGGGGTGGGAACTTGATGATCCTTGAGGCAGCTTCCAACTCAAGCTATTCCCATTCTGTGATTGTGTGTCTTTGAAATCTGTGAACTCTTGCTAATGTGTTTAGGAGACTGGTCAGTTTGGTGGTCTGGCTGCATATAACCTGGCTTGGTATGAATCTGATCATTTTGTCAAGGATAACTAGCCCTTTATTCCACCGAAAACTATCACATTTTTGAAACTTTCTTCTTCTTCTTTTTTTTTTTTTTTTTGAAAGCCTAATAACCAGTGACTTTGAAAAGGCATCCGCTCCTGCTGTTTTGCAGCTACTAGGGAAGATGAAAATGTTCAGAATGGAAAAGGCATCAATGAAAATATTTTGTAAAAAAAAATCAGATAAGGTACATACTGATCAAAAGTCAGACATATGTTTGGTGGAAATTAAACCCTTAGGGAAGGAAGATAACAACTTTGCTTGCCGATGATCTGTGCCAGTTATTAATGAACCACTGCACCTTTAGATACACCAGATGTCCTACAGCTTTAGCTTGCATTAGGTACACAGGCTGGATTGCAAACCTGGGCCATTAGAAGTCCAAACAGCCTGGCTCACTGCAGGCCTAGGAAAGGCAGACGGTTTTGCCTAGTCATTGATGAAGCAAGTGGGGAAAGACGTAGCTAAGCTATGTGACATTGTGAGCAACTTATCTATACGGTGTAGTGTTAGGTGAAGAACTTAAGAAGGATTGGAAAACTGCATGATATACAAAGCAAGCTGGCTGCAGACAACAGACCAAAAAGCTAGCCTGAGAACTGCAACAAAGGATGATGATAAATGAGAGGCTAAACTAAGAAAACAGGATGGCAGCAGTAGTCTCGTAGTGGTTTCTTGTCTAGCAGTTCATCAAGCTGCCAGACCCTCTGGACTACATCAAAAGCAGAACCCCAGTAACCTGTACCCTTATGCTAATCTCAGCAGTTTAGTAGCCCACAGTTATATGGTATATGGCATATACTAACTACCTAAGTGTTTATCCATTCTCTTAGACAGGTTTTGTGTCCCAGAAAGGCCCCACATTTGTCAGGATTAGAAATGAAGGTCTCCCAATTAGACATCCCAGAGTTTTATGTTCATGCTATAATAAAGATACAGCAATTAACTATGGTGCAGATAGTAATTACTGAGACTTTTATACTTCCCGTGGCTTCTGTTACAGCCTGTATTCCACAGTCTGTTAGGAAACAGCGCTTCCTTCCAGAGCAACACAATCTACATCAAGTCCCACTTCTTCTTTGGAGAACCTTCTGCAAGAAACACATTGCCCTACTGCAATGAGCCAGAACGTAATAACTAATTAAAATTATATGCCTGCTGTTTGAATGGCTGTGATATTTCTTCATGGAGATTTGCTGCTCTTCCACGGTAGGGTATATATGTGGAATATAATTCAATGGGTTACCATCACACTGAAGTTATATTCTTTGCCTGAGCTGAACTAAGTTTAACCAAAGAGAGACCACGTCCACCTTTCTGCCCAGGCATACACTCTGCTTCTCTTTGCACCAGCTCTAATGTTCATTCAACCTTGTACAGAGCTAATCTAGCTCATTAATCCAAAAGAAAATATTGACTATTTATTGACAAATAAATATATTGTTGGAGAGATAAAAAGCCCTAAGAGTTCAAATGGATGGAGAATCTTCCCTTTCAACAGCAATGAGAATAGATTGGTTCAAGATGGAACACATAACTCTATCCATAGACTAATCCATACCTGCACATTTGGCCCACTCTGCCAAATGTTGCTAATACTAAATGATATCCTCACTTTTTACAGACACATCCCACCTTGTCGCAGCTTCTTCATTAAGAAAGCTTGCCTCTTGGTGTGAATTTTTATGGTAAATATTTCTATCCTGTACTAAGAGGAAAAAAAAAAAAAAAAAGGATAATGAGGATGATTAACTATTTTCCTAACCATTGACATCTATTGAGAATGAAAATGGCACTACTGTTTTTCAACAATCGCCATAGCATTTAGTATCCAAAGGTCCTAAAATAGTAGGAGACATTCGGCCTTTAAATGCTAATTTTTTAATAGCTTTCCATACAGCTCTAAATTTAAAGGGCTAAAGGAAACCTCAAGTATCTTGAGAATCAAAAAAACACCAAATGAGCCAGATGACAACAGATCTGAGTATGCCATCTTCAGTAAACACAGACTAAACAGTGGTGCTATGGGTGATTCAATCAAGAAGGAGTTAAGGAAGAGGAATATTACGAAAGCAAGTCCACGCAGCTTTATGGAAACAAGTCCTGACAAGCAGGCCTGACTTCACTTTCTGATGAGATTACAAGTTTGTTTGATCAAGGTAACCACATAGATGTGATATACTTGGACTTTCCTAATAAATTCAATTTAGTACTGCTTGACATTTTGATTAAAACATTAGCATTATATAGCCTTAATAAAACACATTAAATAGATTAGGATCTGGCTAATTGATAGAGTTCAGCAAGCTGTTCTAACCAGATACTCAATGCTGACTGGGGATATTTTTAGTGGGGTTCTGCAGACAGGAACACCGTGCTTGCTGCCATTTGTTGCTTTCCTCTAGTGTCTGGAATTACACAGAAACATAGAAGATGCTGGCAAATGTCCCTAAGTTTAAAGAGAAATAGCCAGATATTGAAAGTCACAGTTTTGACTGCATGGGCATAAATGGGTCTCCGGTATTTGACAATGTCCTTTCTCTTCAGTTATGCAAAAGCTTGGAGGTTCTCTTACAGCTATAGCTGCAAGATTGTCACTGAAGGGACACATTTTAATTACTAATTCACATTTAAAGAGTAGTAGGAATCAAACCCAACAACAGCAAAAAAACCGAAGTGCCAACAGTGAAACCAGAAGCTACCTGTGAATTTTTAAAAGGCAAGGAGTCATACTGCACATCTCTGCATCATGTCTTTATTTAAACCACCAACAGTATAAACCAGAGATTAAAATTTGTTTGCAGCTTAATAAAGTCACGAATTCTAGCCTGTTGGTTAAGGATGCTATCAAAACATAAAAAGGAAGGGAAAGCAAAAATACACCAAAGAGAACTTTGACCCGCACATTATGACTGATGAAAGAAATACTGTGAAGAAAACACTGAATGATACACTCTCTCCTTGTACTATCTGAAACACAGATTGCATTGGGATGTCTTATTTCATTTTTTTTATGTGTCTATTTAACATCTAAAATCTTTCCACATTTTCATCATTATATAAACCTATCGTTAATACTCTTGATGTCAGAGCTGTCCAACCTCAGAAGCATCCTACTAATCATCATTTCAACACAGTGCAAACCAGCAACTACATGCCCCATCACACTATAGCTTTTTTTTTTCAGTAGAGAAAAAGCAAATGTTTTCTTCTCTGCCAAACCAAAATTGTTCTTTAAAAAAACAAAACAAAACATCAGAGCTCCTTGCCACATAGGCCATTCAGTGGGAGTCCTTGCTATAAACACTGTCAGAGTAACTAAGTTTCCCTATGTCCAGCACTGTCTTGTCTCCCTTCGCACCACCCCGCAAACAGTCTTTTCAAGAAGCCCATCTCTGCATCTGCATTTGTGTCCAGCTTACAGCAAAATGTTCAAAAAGGAGTTATATGCTTTACTTGCACAAGTGAACTGAAGAACTTTTCACAGTGTTTTTAAACAGGACGCCTTGATGTTTTGCTATAGCAATACCATTTTTTTTCCCACAAGTTTGTTTTTTTAACTGCACATTGGTAGTGGGAGGTTCCTAACCTTTTTTTGAGATAATATCTAATCACCAATACCCAGATCTTAATACCTGTTCCTCGAAAGGCAGATGTTGATATTCCAAGAATGTATGTATACTACTATTTCCAAAGACATTTTATCACTCTTTTAATTTCGTTCCTCACTTTTTCTCACTTAAAGGTATTAATCTTACCCGCTTTTCTTGCTCTAGCACCCACTGACTTCCAGGCTATTGTTCTTTCTCAAAGTCTGTCCATGACATTTTTTTTCTTCATCCTAGATACTTCAATTTACAACTTTTCTTTCCCTTTCATATTTACAATTCATGTTGGTATCATTTTTTTGTCTTGTTAGTTTTTTTTTTTTTCTCGTCAGATGTATTGCCTACAGTGAACACAAAGAAATAGGACATGGCATTCTTCAAACAGCTTAAACTGTGTTTTTACTTCTCCTTATTCTCCAAAACCTTGCACTTAGGATTTGCTGGATTTGCTAACTTAGTGCCATCCTCTTTTTCATTCTGTCTCCTGGCCATAGCCATTACATATCTTGTTTCCCATACCAAGTTCTGTTGCTTTTTCTGGCTATTGAAACCTTTCCAGTTTCATTAGCAACGCATCATTTATTTTTCATCTGGCCATAAGTCAAGCTTTATTCTTTGAACTTTACTTTTTATCATTCAGATGAGGAGTACTAAAATCACAGAATCATATGAAACTATAAATCATCAAATAATCATAAAACCTTCTGGAACACAGACAAGTTGAAAAACAAAAGCGTGGAGCTCAGCATTACGAAGCTGATGTAAAAACTTCTTGCCTTGCTACACGGAGCTGTAGGACTTACCAGCCAAAAAAAATATATTAGGCATGACAATGAGCACTGAAATTATAAAGCACCCCTGAAGAAACTGCAGTGTGACCAAGATGAATCACTTCTACGGTTTTATTAGACAAGGGATGCTATATATTTAGTACCACACATAATAAGTTTTTTATAATCAACTCCAGGCTTCCAACTACATCACCAGTGCCATGTCATGAGTCACTGTTAATCGCCAACTCGTTTGTTCCCGACCCCAATACCCTTCCATAGAACCCTGCATGCAGGATAACATTTCCCCCACATCACACTTGGGAGCCAACAGCAACAGCCCCTGCACCCACAGGCCCAGCCCCTCACCGCCCCGCTCTCAAAGCCCCCCCAGCGGCAGACGACTCCCTCCACACCCCACCCCGCTGCCCCTGCCCTCAGCTCAGCGCCATACGACCCCCGACCCCTCACAGCCGCCTGAGCCCAGCGCGCACGGGACAGCGCCAACCGCCGCATTGGGGCGGGGCGTCGCGGAGGTTAGAAGCCTTTCCAATTGGTGAGAGCGCGTGCTCATCTTGACAGAGCACCCAATCAGATGCGGCGAAGCTCTGCCTCGCCATCCCGCTCCTTAAGCTGGTGTTCCCGCCCGCTCGCTTTGACGCTCCTATTATTGGTCCCGTTCGTCCAGCCGACCGACCGCCGAGCCAATGAGAACAGCTGTCAATCACGAGCCGCTGTCAATCACGAACCTTTTGCCCCGCCCCGTCTCTCCCTTCGGGCGGGGTGGGGTAGGGCAGGGCGGGGCGGGGCGTGAGGGCGGAGAGGGCGGGGCGGGAGCTGCGGCCGGGCGCGTAGCCTCCGTTCCCTCCGGCACAGGCTCGGTGAACGGGCAGCGTGCGGGGCTGTCCCGTCGTCTCAGGACGGCCGCCGCCCGTCGCTCGCTGGCGAGAAAGGCGAGAAGCTCCCAGCGGCTGCGCATCCTCCGCGGGGAGAGGAGGGACCGGGGCGGCTCCAGCAGCGGGAGGAGGGCGGGGGCAGCAGAGGGAAGCGCTCCGCCCAGCGCCCGGAGGAGACACTTCTCGCCGAAGGGGTGTCGAGGGGAAGCGGGGTTGGGTGCAGTCGTGTTTTTGTAGCGCTGTCGAAACAGCCGAGCACCGAGGGCGAGAGGAGGAGAGGGATGGATCCCGCTCGGTCAGATGCTGGCTTCAATTCTCCATTGACTTGTCGCTCGTAGCCCGCTGCCAGATGTGGATGTCTGGGCGGACCTTGTTCCATCGCTCCGCGTCTGAGCGTAAAGCTTAGTTCTGCCGCTTGTGGATCTTTCTTTTATTGTTATTGCCCGAAAGGACCCATCCCGGTAGCCTGACAAAATGAAGCCTTTGTATTTTTCGGTCAATTATACCTAATACCGATTAGTTGGTTTGGTACAAGGGGCTGAAGCGCTGCCTCGCTCGGAGGACCGTCAGGGACTGTCGCTACATGTAGCTGGATGCGTGGCGGCACATCCTATCGCCTTCCCCACGCCTTCTTCCTCGAGCTTTTTCCAAAATGAAGAAATTCAATTTTCGCAAAGTTCTGGATGGTCTGACCGCCTCCTCGCCCGGTGGCAGCGCTGGCGGTGGTGGGGCTGGCGGAGGTTCCGCGCACCCCGGAGGGACTGCGGGCGCCGCGGGGACTCCTCGGGAGGAGATCCAGGAGACGCTAACTTCGGATTATTTCCAGATCTGTAAGGTAAGGGCTGGGGATCCCTTCGGGTAGCGGTAAGGAAAGCTGCGTAGCTTTAGGGGGCTGGGGAGGGGAGGGGGTTGGGGAGGAAGAAATGGGATGCCAGTGAGCTTTTTTACCTGAGAACTGCAGTGATTGTGTAAGGACTTCGTATTGAAAGGCAGAGATGTCTGTGGTGGTGGCTGAGTAGCGGTACGTTCACTGAAATCTGGGTTCGGGGGCAAATCCAGAGTACACGCTTGGTCTCTGAACTAGCAGCGAGATTGTGGACAAAGAGCTAATCAGGTGGTACCAATATAAATAACAAGCCATCAGACATTTGAAATCCTCTATCTCTACTCCCCCTCCTCCCGGCTACCACAGAACTGCTCAGGTTAGAAAAGACCTTAAAGATCATCAAATCCAACTGCAGTCTAACCGTGCTACCATCCTCTCTTTCTTCTCCTTAAGGAAAAAGGCACAAGCTAGAAACAAAAGATGGCACAGTGATTGCTGAACGTAGCACTTTTCTTATTTGCGAGGGCTTGGGTGTCTGTTTAGGGTTTGTTTGTTTGTTTTTTAGCATTGGTGCTGAAGATTGTGATTGTATGATAGTAAACTTAATGGAACGGCATAAATATTGAAAGTTTCCAAATTTGTTTGGCATTGGCTTTTACATATTGGTTAGATCTTTCTGTGGGAATTTTCTCTCCAAATAGCATGCATAAAATATCTCCATGATTTTTATTTTTATGTCTGTTTCCTGCAACAGAGCTCTCAGTGCACAATGAAATCAGTAGAAATGACTTGGTATTTCTGACCAGCTCTGGAGTTCTAAGTAATACTTTGGTAATGAGGTACAGAAAAGAAATGAGAGATTGTATTTTTATCCTCTAGTCTTACGCTTTTATCTTTAACTTTGACATTAATTGTGTTGACTTTACTAGGAGTCCTGTTTGTGTATCTGTTAGGATGTGCAAAAACAGAATTTTTAGCTAGTGCAGTTTATGTTATTACAAGAGCTTCACCTATTCAGCATGCTTTCATTAGTCAGATACCAACTGAGTTGAAATTTAGGTTATAGCCCACTCCAGCACATCTCAATATTTGAGGAAGAAGGATGGAATATAAGCAGGCAAGGCAAAACTGTAGGAGAGTGTGTAGATCTGTCCCAGTGCAATATACAGCTTTCATAATAGCAGTTGTGGTGATTTTATTCTGTTCTCAGACACAGTGAGTGTTAAAACTCATACAGAGTTCAGGTGAAGAAAGACGAGCCCCTATCACTTAGAACAGTCAGAGAGACCTTTTGAATAGATTCTGTACCATGGGGCGTCCTGAGTCAAATTAATCTGTTGTTTAACAGTGCTAATTCATTACAGTTGTGTCTGTTTACACCAGAGCTGAATTTGACACCTTTTGCTTATGTACCCAGTAATACAACAGTTTATGAAATTCCAGATATCCGGAACAGTGATTTTCCACTTTGTCCCTTCAGTAGGAAAATGATGCAAATAACCACGTTATGTTGATATATCTTTAGGTCTGACATGAGAATTCTGAGTAAGGCTAAGACTCAACATAATTCTTCCTTTGATAATGTCAGAGATCTGTATTTCATGTGGTAGATCTGTGGCATATTTGCAAAAATATACAATAAATCTTTCAGAAACAAAATCAATTAATTCTCTGTCTTTGTATTTCCCATCTTTGGCTTGATATTTTTTGCAAGCAGTTCTGGTAGGTTTTGACAGATCTGCTTAGAAATGTGGGTGCCCAGGAATACAGCACTTCTAGAAGATTTCAGTGGGCAGTGTTTGCCTCTTTTTTTTCAGTGAGGAGATTTAGCTGTCAGGTTGAAATGCTCTCAGCAAAGTAAATATTTGTATGGGAGCGCTTTTGGTTGCAGCAGCGCTTGCTTATGAATGCGTGGTACTGCAGAAGTCCACTCTATGGTATACAGAGCATTGGCTTCCTTTTTTCAAGGTACAAAAGCGTACTAAAAGCAAACTTCCCCAAATAATCTCTGATTATGAGCTCAGGAAATACTGCAAGGTTTAGTCAGCAGGCTCTGCTTAACGAGCTGTGTTGCTGTTTAGTAACAGTATAAGCATGTCTGAGTGAACTGACAAAAACTCACAGGCCCCAGTCCTGCATTATGTACTGTGCAAGTGTACCAAAGGCAGTGGGACTGTATGCAGGCACATACACAGGCTTATTGTGCATACTACAGAGTGCACAATGTGAGCCATAATTTGTGCCTTAGTCGATATGTATTAGATTAAAAATAATGCAAAGCATACATGTAATCCAAGCTTTACCTTCCCAAAGATTTTGTGGCATAGAACTTCTGATTTTTCAGTTGTCTGTTTTCACATTAAGTTACATAAGTAATACAGGCTGCAGTTTAAGGATCTGACCAGGATCTGTCATCCTGCTGCACACAAAACTGAGTGAAGCTAATGGCAGTATTGGTTTGTTACGATCTGCACGATCATGATAGATGGATTCTGCTTGGAGTAACACCCCAAACCAATTTTTTCTTTCTTTACTAATTATTAAATCTTCATTTAGATAAGTAGTGTAAAAGCTGACTCATACATTAAGAATGAAAGGGCCTTATACTGCATTCTTTACTTAAATAAATTGCCTTTGTGAAGTTTGTAGGAGGTCTTCTTGACTAAAAACACTGATCTAAATCCTCTAGCAGCAGACTGTTTTTTTTGGTAATGCATGTTTTATTAGTAACACATCCGAAACCTGTCTCTGTTTTTGACATTTTTGAGATACTAATTACTATGGTGTCTTTTTAAGATAAAATGAAACCTTAATAGAAGCGTGCTGAATATTTCATTTTATAGAGAGATGTTCATAATGAGTTACTTTTGCCATTTATGTTTGAATCATTATTGACAGAATATAAATGAAATATTCGTGAAACGATTGCACGTGAAATAGCTGCAGACTTTTTTTAAGCATCATAAACTTATGTGTTGGTATCTGTAGTAGTGAATCATTGCCACCTTTCTGGAAGTATTCATGTAATATGAAATTTTGGCAGGACTGTATTTTGTGACAACTGGAAGCTGAGGTGTAAGGTCATATTGTATCTAAGGCTTCTCTTGGGATATGGGTATCCATGTGGTAAAAATACTGATTGTGATTCAAATTAATTGAATGTGTGAGATAGGAGAGTCATGCCAAAAACTAGACACAGTCCAATAGAACATGTTAGTAAAATTTAAATTAATTTCAAGGGTGGTGGTCTTAGCTGCTTCATTTATTACTAAGGTTTATTGTTAAGGATTTCTTGAGCCATCCTGTATTTGTTTATAGCTTGTAGAAATTAAAATACAGTAGCAGGAAGAGAACTCGTATTAATACAGGAATCGAGGACAATTAGGATGTTGTAAATCATTTAAGTAGAACTTTGAGCAGAAGGGTCATAAATGGTGAAAAGAGTGATTTTCTTACTTTTGTAGGGGGTCAGTTATGATGTGGTACTGAACTTTGGGGAAAACTGACTAAACCTGAAGATGCAGATTTTGAGAACATGTGGTGTGTTTTCTTTATGCAAATGAGTCTCCTGTAAGGAACTACTTGAGCTGTTCCTCAACAGCAATCATAGAGTTGAATTTGTAGAGCAAGATGTTATTACTTTTATGGAGAGAATGTTTGAAATCAAGATCTCTGTAACTGGGTAATAAGATTTGTGCTTGACTAGAACAACAGCCTATTCCAGTGTATTTTCTTTGGCTGTAGGCAGCAGCCAGATACTCTAGAAAATATTCTAGAACCTTTAAATTAAACTTGTCACTGAATTATTACCCAAACTCTAATGTAGTTGTGACTGCCTTTAAAACTAATCAGCATCCAATCAGTAGCCAAATTTCAAAGACAGCTTCACTTTTTCGATCTACCACTAGCATTTCACTCCTCTGGGATAATGGCTGTAATAGAGACCTATCTAGTTTTGATGAACTTCTCTATTATGTTGCCTTGTGATATTACATACAGACATTTTATTGAGATATTTCAGTTTATCATTGAAATTTACATGTATTATTTATCTGTATTTCCTATAACACGGTCCTAAATCTTAATTCATGATTTTATATGGTAATACTTTATTTTGACAGTCTATGAAGACAAACATCTAGTCCCTTTGATAGCAGTCCAGTAGATACTTAAACTGGAGGTGCAGCATGAATATGTATTTCAGTGTCAATAGAAACAAGGTGAATTTCCAAATGGCAGTTTAATAACAATTGTGCAGTAGCACGCAGTTTTATTTTTGCTTATAGAGAATTACAAAAAGTTCTCTGTTACAAGCTGTCCGTAATGTTTCAGTTAGCATGAGCTAACTATTGGTTAATCTGTGTTGTCTCATTAAGAAGGTCACTTGGGGCCAAAAAAATACCAGCGTGAAGCTTTACGTTTCAGAGAAAACCCACTTTAAGTATTAAACCTTACTTGTAAGTGCTCAGAGTTCATTCTGTGGTAAATACAATATGACGTTGAGAAGGATTTTTCACACATGCTGTATTTTGGATAGAATGTTAAATCTAAACTGTAGATTCCCAGTCACGGAACCACATGATTTTAGGGGTTGGAAGGGAGCTCTGGAGATCACCTAATCCAAACCATTGCAAAAGCAGATTCCTAGAGGGGGTTATGCATGAAAATATCCAGGTGGGTTTTGAGTATCTCCGGAGAAGGAGACTCCACAACATCTCTGGGTGTAAGTGCTATAAGTGACGTTTCTGTAATTAGATGTCAGTAATCTTATTACATGTGTGATGATCGTAAAGTATTTTGCTTTTGAAAACGTTTGTAGTTATTTGAAATAGGGCTCATCAGCAGTAAAGAGCAAAGCTTATTGGAAGCTTCTTTTTAGGGAAATTTGAAGATATTAAACTACCCACAACTTTTACCTCCAGTAGTACAACTGGACAGTTGTTTTGTTTTTTTTCAAACAAAATGTCTTTATTTTCTGCATTCCTTTATTTGATCATTAGTCAAATACT